TTTATCTGGCTCTTATTGGTCATAGAAGGTTTTTTAAAAATGCGTTTTTCAACCACCTATTAAGATCAACTTGTCAAAATAAATTATATTGAAAAATTAAGGACTTATTGTAAATGTTTATAACTATAAAAATAGCAATTCGTCAACAACAATTCTGAAATAAATGACTAATTTTTTGAAATAAATGACTAATTTTTTGCAAGTTGACATCTTCAAGAATCCATTTCCCTTTTGTAAAGGGTTCTAGGACCATACCTTGGGAAATTGATGGCCTTTTTATGTTCTAAAACCTCCGGTTTACCGATTAATCATAAAACTTAATTTGAAAATTATACAAGCAAAATACTGAATTTTGGGATTGTTCAATTGTTTATTAAAACAGAGGAATTATCTGGCTGTATCTATTTATGTATTTGTCAATAGAAGTTCTATTTAAAACTTTCGGATATCTGCAAAACTTTTTTCCACTTGTTTTTCATCTAGCCTGGACTACTAGGCGTGGATTATATAATGGCCTTACTCCTGTTATAAAATACATATCAGGTAATTTAGATCAATCTGATCTAGACGAAATAGTGGAAAATATAATAATTCTCATAGAAAATCAAGATAGCTTATCGTTACAAAATTCTCGGACTGTCTCTGTAGCAAAACAATTACACGACAGGTTTGAAAATAACACTTTGACTATCAAGAAAAACTTAAGAGGTAATTTGGTCAACCTCAACAAATTGCATAAAAAATACGCTAATTCTCAGTATGTTTTGAATTGATTTGATTATACTGTCCATTGAAATTTCAAATTTGAATAAAATTTAACGGGTGAGCGTGAGCGGCGCGGGCGAGGTGGGGGCAGTATCTTCAGTGTCTGGGAATTCAGTCGCCATGGAGTGTTTCACTGGAGCGGATCGTGCTTTTTGTGTGCGCGCGTTTTATCAAAATAATGATTCGGCAACCATTGCGTGGCGTAAATATCGAGAATACCACAATTTACACAATTTTACAAAGTATCCAACAGCTCAAACGATTAAGAACTGGGTTGCTAAGTTCGAAGAGACTGGTTCGACGTTAGATAAACAGCGGTGGGGTCGACCAAGGACAACTCGTATTGAAGAAAACATCAACATTGTGGCACAGTCTGTTCGTCAAAATCCTACCCAGTCTACTCGTAAGCATTCCAGTGCACTAAACGTACCCAGAACATCTTTACAGCGGATTTTAAGGAAAGATTTACGTCTGCACGCTTACAAAATTCAGTTAGTGCAGGAATTAAAAGATAATGACGCTATTCAGAGACTAAACTTTGCGAATGAAATGTTGAATCGATTCTCTTCGCTCAATAATGTGTTGTTCTCGGACGAGGCTCACTTCCATTTAAATGGGCATGTAAATAAACAAAATTGCCGTTATTGGAGCCCCGAAAATCCAAGGCGTAAGCATCAGAAGCACTTACACAGCCCTAAAGTTACAGTTTGGGCTGCTATGTCAGCGCATGGCATCGTAGGCCCTTATTTTTTTGAGGACGACACAGGTCGCGCATTAACTGTTACTTCGGAGCGGTATGTAGCAATGATAGAAGAGTTTTTGACACCAGCGTTGCAGAATTTTCCAGGCTATAATACGCAGACCTGGTTTCAACAGGACGGAGCAACTGCCCACACCTCCAACACTTCTATGCCCGTCGTCTGTCAACTTTTTCCCAGCAAAGTAATTTCTCGAAGAGGAGACATTTCCTGGCCACCACGTAGTCCAGATTTGACCCCAATGGACTTCTTTTTATGGGGCTACCTCAAGAGTAAAGTGTACGACACCACTCCGCGATCAGTTGATGTCCTGAAAGAAAATATCCGAAGAGAAATGGCAAGCATTACAGTGTTGACTTGCCGCGCAGTCATCGACAATTTTAGACGTCGTTTATATGAGTGCCGTGATCGTAATGGATTGCATTTAGATGATGTGATTTTTAAAACATAATTCCCATTCAATAAAGATGATAACAAAATATAATAATTCTTCATAATGAAACTAGTTTGGTTTTATTCCTTTTTTCCAGCTCAGGACTTATGGGCCACCCTGTACAAGCATTCACTAATTATTATCTATCCCAGTTATTGTTAACCATTAATCTGAGTACAATCTTGAATACTTGAACGGTCCCTATTAAGATTTCGCCTTCGTGACTGCTTCAGTATAAAAGAAGAAAATACATATGGGTATACATAGAGCACACTCAATGACAAAAAACGGAAACGGCTCTTCGACTGTAAGTAGATGACGCTGCGATGGTTATAGAAGGGCACTCTAGGTATGCGATGTATGATGAACGTGATACATCTTCAGAATTCTCTATGAAATGGTATGCGCGTCGCACCACCACATACATGGCCATACTTCAATAAGGATAACTACGTGATTGCAGCTGTCGATGCCGGCAAAAAGCTAATGATGGCAGAACCTGGATGCGTCCAATATTGAATATGGTCAAACATGCTATTGGATTGGACATAAAATCTGTATAGCTAATGAGGTTTGCATGGCTAGCATTCGTTAAGTGCACCATTCTGTCCACAGAACCGGGTACAGCTTGCTTGGTACCCTTGCAGTTTGTTACCGTCAAATTAGCCTCACCTCTTCCTCTAAAATCGTCTCTAAGATGTTGATACTTTCTAGAGTATTCCGTTAGACTCCTGCTTTACATTTGTAGCTCAGTCGTGCAGAATGTGAAAAATTGAGGACTATCAACCAAGGAACATAATAGCAATTAAATTACCCTAGTATTAAGGCGGCTCCGACGCAGTGAGTTTCAAGCCATTTACGAGGGTTCAGCTGCTTCGAAACTGACACTATATTCATCAATATCAAAAAATAAAGCGTCAATTTCGAAGCGCGCAGACCTCTACAAATCGTATTTTGGACGAATTTTGTCTACTGTTTCGTGCTGCCAAGCATTGCGGCGCAATGTACGGACTAGGAAAGGACGTATTCAGATAATATGGTGGCCTTATTTCATATAATATCGCGTAGATAGGTCGTTCTGCAAATAGGTACTCAAATAATCGCGATCGCTGATACTCCTCGATCTAAAAGTCGTTTTACTTCCGACCCCATTGGCGAGGAAGTATTGTAATCGCGAAAAATTTCTAAAATGAGATGTAATGTTTCTTTAAGTTATATATGACATCTACATCACTCATCATTAACTTGAAAATTACCGCTCGGATTTTTATGAAATTTCGACAAAGCTTTGTAGTTTTAGTTCAGTGGCAACGGTGCTATAGGCAAAAAAGAAAAAGTAACAATTGCTGAAAGTCCGTTTTTGGCGTTTCAGGGGTTCCGAATCATTGACATAAAAAAATTGTACTGCTTAAAAAAAAGGGGGGGGGGTTGGAAGCAGTGAAACATGTTCTATTATTAAGAAGCTTCTGATCCCAGTTATTACAGGCAATTTAAATAACGAAAATCCGACGAATAATGTGCTCACGATTTGAAAAAATTGGTACCTGCTCTATAGGTTTGACACCAAGAACTAACAGATTTGCAACTACCGACAGTAGGGAAGAATAAATTCGGATATCACTCCAGTCAAGTATAGGGGAATCTAGCGTGGAACTAAAATTATCGATATGCCGAGGAAATATGTTTTTGGGAATGATAATTTGGTAGATTTTATTCCTGTATTTTCATTTGAATCTCATGACCCATGAAATGTACCCTTTTCGCCGATACCTTCAATTTGTGTTCTGCAGTTTGTGATGTTTTTCTGGATATAAGCTAGACATAATTGCCTAGGGTGCTATCAGAGCTTTTTACAAAATTTTGTCTTTGCGCAAGAATTATGGTGGGTTGAAATGCTTACTATTTGTGCTCAACTTCTCGATATTTTAAAAAGACCCTAGTGGATACAATCGAAAAAGTGGATCGCTGGCACCATGTGGACTTTGTTTTTAGCACGCTGCAAGAGTTTCTTTTGGAAATAATAAAAATGAAACGTAGGCTGTGAAGTGCCAATTGGTTTTTGGGCGAAACTCATCTACTGTTTCGTCCTGCCAGTCCAAGCGACGCGACGGTGCGTTCCGACTGAGACAAAATGGAACTCAAATAATTTTATGTCTTTCCTAAAATAAATTCAAGCACTCAAATTCAAATTCGTTTATTCATGTCAATAAACATAATTATGTTTACAAGGGTCTTGTGGTAGATGGTAACAATTGAAGGAGGGTCATAAAACTATCTTATGCGGTCAAAATAAGAGGAAACAGTCAGGTAGCTTTTGCAAAGCATTAAACAGGTAGGCGTATACCTGGATTAAGTACATGTCTTGTCTATTGTAATAGGTAGATGGAGGTGATGCTGCCAGAAATGGTTGCCTGCGATCAGTAAACAAACCACAAGATTGAACTGTCTTGTCCAATGATTTTTGTATTGCCTTTTTTATTACCTTACTAGAAAACTCTGTTGTGTATATGATGGTGTTTACTAGAACCTTACAGCTTGCTGTCTGCGTTCTTCTACAAACTTACCAAATCGAGACGCTGTTAACCTTATCCTCCGATGAAGATGCCACAAAGTACAGTCCTGTGATTTGGTGACTTGTTCGATCTGAAAAATCTCGTCGTCACTTTTTCTAAGTTTCCCTAAAAATTATTGCTTAGCAACCTCCAAATCAATGTCGTTCATGCCAGGTCTTTGACAGAATTCGCCTTAAAACTATTCATTTTCTTTCGAAGTGCTATCCGAATTGTTAGTTATTTTTATATCAGCTTTTTTTGGTCTGAGTTTCTTTTCTAGATTCTTGCGTTTGAGTCTTTGTTCCATCTTAGTGACAAGCGAGGTTGGACTAAGCTTAGAACGAAAATTTATTTGGACCACATAGACAGGCCGCTCGGTATTGTGGCTCACTACAATTGCAGTACATCTTTCATGGTATGAACTCTTCTTGCAATAATTTATTCGCTTACCCCAATATATTTTGCAATTATAAAGTTGAACTGCTCCACACCATTGTTGTCCTCATCATGAATTAAACTCACTGCAGGCAGCAGCGGTGGCCGCAGTAGTAGACTCTTCGGTCTCCTGATCAGTCGCCGTGCGCTGTGCGGGTTCGAGTCCCGTCCCAGGAGAAATTCTTCTCTTGGCTATGGATGTTGTGAATGTCCGTAGGTGGTAGACGGTCTGTGACTGTCGAACGTGGAGGTACCACCCGGCGGATCTCGTAGGCGGAGCCAGAATGTGTGCATGTTGCATGCACACGTGTTCCCTCGCCAGAGTCCGTGTGGCGTTCCCCCTTTCCCCTGTATCCCCCTATAGCCTCACGGTACCCAATGGGTGTTTAGGTCTTAGGCCTTCGTGGTAGTTGGAGTATAAAAAAAATCATAATTAAAATTGTCGCATATGACCTTTTATTGTCCATTATCAACCTTGATAAAAAAAGGCACTCAAGAACAATCACACCAACAAGAGTACAGCACAACCATTCAACAACACAATATCGACGAACAGTAACAAAGGTAGAACAATACTGAATGATCACTTGCTGAGTACCAAAATAGGAAACGATTTACAGGCTAGATCGCTAATCGAGATCCGGCTCTGTTATTATAAAAAATTACCTCGGTACGCACCCGCAGTCATCCTTTCCTCTTTTAAAGTAGCACCGACGACCGTCTAAGGACAGCCCACCCTCGTTTCCTTTTCACTCCCCCCCCCCCCCCCCCCCGTTACCTCAGCAGATGGGGCTCGTGATTGTAGGAGCCTCGTTAAAGCTTTGTCTTTGCGGCTGTCTGAGTATGAAATAGTACAGGGAATGTTCTTACTTAAACAGCCAAGAGGAAAACTTGGAAAGTATCTTCAGGTTCCTGAAATGGTCGCTAGTGGGCGCTAGGAGTTTAGTATTAGACACAGTACTGAGAAGTATCTCAGATGTCAATGCTAAAGTTTCTAAGTCCTAATTCAATCTTTTACATGCTTTTTTGATGTCCGCCTCTTCATATGTTATATGTAGCTGTGTATCATCAGCATAGAAGTGATAGGAGATACATTTTGGGCATCTGTCGACCGGCGAGGTGTATAATATAAAGAGAAGAGGGCCTAACATGGAGCCTTGAGGGACACCATGGAAAAGCTCGAGCTGGGGAGATTGTGGTTTTTGAAAGAGATCTGCCAGTTATATAGGATTTAAATACTATACTGTGAAATGCCTTAGAAAAATCTAATAGCGCTAAAATACATAATTTATTCTGTTCAAGTGCTACATGTGTATCATCAACTATTTTTCGTAAGGCCGTAGTACCACTGTGATTTGATCAAAAACCAGACTAGCTCTCTGGGCAGGATCTTATGTTTCTCAATGAAGTCTAGCACTTGTAAGTAAAGAATCCTTTCAGTAACCTTGAAAAGGTTACATAGTATGGTGATGGATCTGTGTGTTACTAAACTTTGACAAATATAGGTAACCTTTTCTTTGTTGGTAGTCTATTTTTACAAAATGCTAGTTTGGACTCATGGTCTTCGTAATGAGGATGTGCCGTAAATAAATAAATTCTGCAATATTTCCGCCTGTTAACGATGGGAATGGCAAATGAGCTTGCAGATTGTAGGTGTTCTGTGAAACTCTTTCATCATGTGATAGAATAGAACAAATCTGTTTCCTTGTTAGAACTTGTACAACAAATTATTATATTCACTCGCAAAACAAAACAGCAACAACCGTGTCTTGAAGCAGGAGGCATATTTCTCGTGTGTCTGAAAGTCCTACACATGACAACTTATTGGCTTTTTATGTGTGTGATGGTTATCTAAATCGCATGTAATACAGGCGGAGGCTGGAATATTAGCACATTTAAATTTAAATAGCCACTGTTGATTTATTATTCACAGAAGGCCCATTCATTATCCAACGACTTCTTAGAGCAATAAGGTCTTAGCTAGTTGATATGGTACGAAATGTCACGCCTTATACGACGAAGTTGCCTGTTTATACAGAAAGTATATTTTGAATTTGAAGACATGTAAACGAAAAAATATTTCACTCACTGCTAATCCAAGATATCGCCATTACTGGTCGCAATGCCTTATTGCGTTTCTCTCCCTAGGTGAATAATGAAACCAAAAAACACCTAGGTTAATAGTAATGTCATTTTGGTCTGTGTTTTGTCAATTTCATTGGGTTAGTTTGGTGATTTCACATTTCGAAAGACTTTAGAACGATTGGGTGATAAGTAATTTGAAGTATAGCTCCCCCTGTAGTTCTCCCTCCTAATTACATCAATAAGTATACACGTCAACACGTGCCGGCCGGATAATGTAAAGGTCATCAGGAAGGATGAAATCTCAAAGGGTTTTTCAATAGTTGATAGATTTTCAAGTTCTTCCAAATCAATCAGTGGTTAAAATTAAAAGAACATAGCTATGGTTTGCCATTTGTTGATAAAATAATTCCGTCGTAATCGGGCCTCATCAGTCCAGTTTTTTGTTCGTCGCCTATGTGTTCCCTTCCACTGTCGTTTAAGAACAATTTCAGCAATAATCTCGCCGAGTTACTCCAGACGATGATGGCATAGACCATCGAAAGCTTGAGTTCAAGTTGTAAGAGTGTACTAGTGTTTTTATGCAAAACTTTGCGCTCTATCCAAATAAATTCACACGAAACCGAAACAGACGCATTTACTGGCAGCTCAGTTTTTTTTTGAAAAACGCTCAGACCCGTCGATTTTGTTTTCGAGGGGGACACACGTTTGTCAAAAAATCACGTTAGCACGTGCAGCCCCCTAAGCGGGGGTGACACCACTCCCAAAATCTTAAATGGAAAGGAGAGTCGAGAGATACCTTATTTTAAAGGTCTTTCAATTCCCTTTATAATGATGTAAATTACATGAGCTTCAGTTCAGTAGTTTTGGAGATTTATTGATTTAAAGCTTTTTTAAATTATTTTGTACTACTTTCAGAAGAAATTTGACGAAAAGAATTTACTTAATAATCAAATGCTTTTCTTCACTACGCTCATGGTTTATCATTTTATTGTTGAAAATAGCTATTGGAGCGTTTTTTGTGGCAAAAAAGTTATTTCTTGGAGAAAGATAAGGAAATATCTCGTACTTATTTTAAATAGGAACTTAGTACATAGTTTACGATCGATTTGACCAAACTTTGTTGCTAAAATAACTTGTAACGCTTTATTACATAAATTAACCATGGTATATTCCACAGCAGAAAGAGTTGAAATTATCGAAATATCTTTCGGAAATTATCAGTGCGCTAATAGAACAGTCTATAGTGCAATATCTTTTCAATAATATTTTATTTTATGCTGATATGGGAAACTATGATACTATGATGGTTATGAGAAGTACTGCAAATCCAAATATTGGATTACAATCTCGAACTTGTACTCCTGCTGATCCTTCCCCTTCTGGATCAAGTTTTCCTTCAAAGTTATCTTCACCTGCTGCTACTATACATCCTTCGTCGTCATATCCTCCCATTCATGCAAGAGATACTGAAAATCGGAACACTCACGTAAGTGTGCAAGCTGGCGCATCAAAAACAGGTCAAAGTTCAAGTATGCTATTATCATTTAAGGCGGCTCCGACGCGCTGAGTCTCAAGCCATTTACAAGGGTTCAGATGCTCCGAAACTGACACTCCATTTTTCAATATCTTTCAACGAAATTCATACAGTATGTTCAGAAGACAATTATCCAGGATGCTATCGGAGCACTTCTTGAAATTTTGTTTTTGCACATGATTTATGATGCGTTGAAGTGCTTACTTTTTTTGTCGAACTTCGCGATGTTTTGAAAAAGAGCTTAGTGAAAAAAATAAAAAAGTGGCTCGATAGCACCCTGCAGAGTTTTGTTTTGAGTTCACTGTAAAAATTTCTTCCGAAAGTATTAAAAAATGAAGCGTCAATTTCGAAGCGCGAAAACCTCTTCAAATCGAATTTTTCACGAATTTTGTCCACTGATTCGTGGTGTCAGTTCAAGCTCAAGGACGTGTTCAGATAATTTGGTGGCCCTAGTTCATACAACATCGTGTATATAAGTACTCGTAGTTCTGCAAATAGGTGTTCATAATCGCTATCGCTGTTGCGACGTAAATGTTCCTAACTAGTTACGTAAATGTGTCTTCTGAACTTATCCTCCAGTTGTCTCTCCGATATATCTGTCTTACACTGGACAATAAGTGAAACCTGTGAATATACTGATTTCCTGGCGTTCTGGCTGCTTCTGCAAATAAAAAACTCTTACTACTCTATCTTGAAGTCGTTTTACTTCTCATTTCCGTCTGTTCGTCTGCTGATCCTTTGCGCGTCTATAACTTGGAAATTACCGCTCGGATTTTTACGAAATTTCTGCATAAGGTTAGTACTATGTCAGAGCTTTGTAGTTTCAGTCCAGAAGCGGCAGAGCAATAAGCAAAACCGAAATAAATAACAATCGCTGAACTCCGTTTTTGATGTTTCGGGGATTCCTAAACACTGTCACAAAGAAGCTCTAGTGTTTAAAAAGTCAAGATGGAACCATTGTATTCGACTCAAAGGCCAAGGCGGAGGTGCTAGCAAGATCTTTACGTCATGCAATTTTGGAGTAAGCTCATCCAGTCTTATTTGGAGGCTCATTTCGTTGCTCTTGACATCACGAAAGCGTTCAATCAGCTGTGGCACGCTGCCCTCTTAAACAAACTTCCATCCTATGGCTTACCAGAAAAGGTTTGTAGATGGGTGGCTGACTTTATCTCTGGCCGCAAGACATCCGTCGTAATTGACGGGTTCTCCTCGTCATCTCACAACGCAACGCGGGTGTTCCCCAGGGATCGGTCTTGGCTCCGACACTATTTCTCTTACATATCAACAACTTCCTTTCCTGCACGATCAACCCAATCCAGGGCTTCGCTGATGACAGCACTCTACATGCAGGAAGTCAGAGTGACAAGTCGATGTCTGCCGCTGAGCTGACAAAAAGAAGAGTAGCGACCACTTCCTATCTGACAAGAGACCTGGAGGCTATCTCTGCTTTGGGACGCAACAATCTTGTCTTTGTCCAACTTTTTTTTGTTAGGTTTGTCCTACTTTTTTCCGTTGAGTTTGTCCTATTTTTTTGTTCGTTAGGTTTGTCCCACTTCTTTTCGTCAGGCATGTCCCACTTTTTTTTCGTTAGGTTCATCCCACTGTTTTTCGTTACGTTTGTCTATTGTTTTTCGTTAGGTTTGTCCGAATTTCTTTCGTTAGGTTTGTCCCACTGTTTTTCGTTAGGTATGTCCCACTTTTCCGTTAGGTTCA